GTTCAGTTGATTAAGTTGCTGACTGTTCTTCAGACTTGGCGGGGACCGCAAAATTGTCCGAAAAAAAAAATGGTTAAACTGGTTGGTGGCTTTATGGTGCCAAGCAACGTCTCACTTATTTGGTGCGGTTTAACGGTCTGACTTTCTCTTTAACCTGCACTGATATTGCATAGTGCGCGAGCTTCCAGCATTTAAGTGGCTCTGAAATGCTGCTGCCGCAGCCACGAATGACTCCATGTGTCTCAGGTCAGTAGCCAAGCACTGTAGCTATAGTGGGCAGAAAAGGTTCCAGATACTGTACCCTAACTGCTCAGCGCTACTAAGCAACCACAAAAGCAGAGAACATGTGACGGGCCTGACTGCTCAAAACGCAACACACAGCCAGAATGACCATGTGCGAAATGACCCCCCCCCCAAAGACGGTTGGAGCAATAATGATGATCTGGTAGACTGATGAAGAAAAGTTGCATCCCTTACAGTTTTGCAGCCAAGGAAGACCAGGTGCGGCCTCCAAAACTAAAACTGTACGCGCTTCCAATCTTGAAGCCAACAAAACTAGCCACTGGAAGCCAAACTTGACCAAGCCAATAAATAAATATAACAGGGTGGCTTCGCTAATTGAGTGGCACGACACAAAACGAACGATTTGGTCCTGAAAATCAAACTTCAGGGCATAAATTCATCTGAAGAATCGATCGCAAAAGCGCATTAGTGCTATGGGAACCTTGGCGGTGCATTTGTTGCGTCCGAAATATTCAAGAAGTTCAAATTTTCAGAGTCCCAAAAATTTATCAGCGACTGTAAATGCAATACTATGCCAAAACAAGTAAATGAGCAAAACCATGCAAAGACAGTAAAGAAACGTACCGTTGCATCACCCTTGGCAGGTTTGGAAGCCTTGCGCGGGAACAAGATCAGCTTCGAGCGGTACTCCTTAAGGCGTTGCACGTTCTGCTGCAAGCTCTCAACACTCTTGTTGCGGCGCCTGTAGTCAACAGCAATGCCAATGGTTCTGGCAACCCTTTTGGCAATACCTGCAGCCTAGTTAATAATATTTTTTTTTAATTCTAAGTAGACCGTGAAGACACTTTAAAAATGATGGTGGGGATAGCCTTTTGTAATAGATTACAGGAATTGTGCGAACTGGCATTACCAGAGGAGGGAGAAAAGCTCTACAAAAATAAAACCTTTGCACAGATGCTGTTACTTAAACTGTGCCAGAATTATACAACTTTTATGCAAAAAACAAACAAACTTTGAAACCCCTAACAAGGCATTTTTATAAGTGGATCTAATGGATGCTCTCCTTGCTCAGTTTTAATAGCAACCAACCTCTGGCAAATTACAACAGACCCACCCCTGCAATTTAACAAATTACATTAGCTTCACTTAGATTACTACAACCTTGTAGCAAGATGACAACACAGGCTACATTAAGCTCAAAATCAAGTTTTCAGGGCTCCATGTCATTTTGATGATAAATACTGAGTTTCAAAGACCCCTATGGTCACACTTAAAGTGTAAGTGTATTGCATTAACTTTCTGAATCTAATATTACCTCACTGTAGTTTCTATGAATGTGTATTTTACTGCACAGAAAAATAACACCATGGCTATTTTACGATTGAAACATGCCAGTTCTTAATAGGGGGTTTGCACTCAGCCTCGATCTGCAAGGCGGCAACATTATCGCCCTATACTTTGAAGATTCGTTCGTACATATTGATGTTCGTGAGTTGGTATAGTGTGCCATGTTCCACAGCAAAGAGCTGCACCTTGCCTCTTATTGTTTTAAAGATTGCTGTGTGCTATATCCTTTTGCCTATTCATTAACATTCTTTTAGACTTTTTTCATATTTGTGATGGCCAGCAGTACCTAATAATTAAACCTTATAAACAGTGCATGTGGGGGTGCATTTCGTACGACGTTGCCTTAGTTTGAACAGAGCAGACTAAGGACATAATGGACACGTTTTGCTGGATTACAGCACACAATACTGCCATTTTCACTTCAGTTTCCACACTTCACCCTAAAAATGTAGCTGGTAATAAATTTGCCGACTCATGCATGGAAGGGATATATGCAGCTTGCACATGTCCCATCATGTGCACATTGGCTAAATTGCACCAGTATTAACAAGATAGAGAAATGCAAACCTCTTGCTGCCAGTTATCATTACTGCGGTTACTGGCACCTGCTTTGTTTAACTCTGCCCCCTATACCACTACATAGGAGGCCTGATCTTGCTACACAGTAGACCATAGCATGGAGAACTTACGAAATACTTTCAATGTGAAAGCGATTCTACTAACAGCTGCTGCTAACAGCACAAAACTGAACCAGAACACATACTAATTGAAAAACAGCAAGAGATGACAAAAGCTCCAAACTAAGAATATAAAAAAAGACATGCTGCAAAAAATGCAATAAACCATACATAACTTGCAAGTGTGTCACACAGTGGAACTCTGGGACAATCTCGGCATATGCGCCGCCATCACGGAGCACATGGAGGCAGCAGCCACTGAGTCAAGCTGTGCAATGCTCGCATGTCCTGTCAACACCGTACCTCCCGGTGGCGATTCATTTGTGTGATACTATACTGCCGAACGAGCTGTGTAAATGACAAAAACGAACCAGAAGCAGGGACGTACTGTTTGCCAAAGGTGATGACAAACTCGTGCGACTGCACAGAAGAGCAGTCCAATAAGCAGAGCACATGGCTCATGCGCACATAAACTGGAAGGACCTCAAGACTGAAAAAGGTATGTGTGCGTGGGCATAACTTCATAACAGAGAAGTTATGTTTCCAGATCTCGTGCAAAGCTGTTTTCACCCATTCCGTGCAACACCATGAGCTTGGACAAAGCAGTTCCGCAGTTAACATTGCTTCACTGATGGCTGCATAATGTCCTGAACAATTCTCTTCCGTTATACGCGCAAGGCAAACGAAAACATGCGCTCTACAACAAACGACTGCTGCACGAACGTTAACACGGCGCGGTTATGAGACGCATGTGCTTGATAAAGGTGGACGGAAGACAGGAACTGATGTCACTTGCAAGTTATGCATTGATTCTTGCCGATTTTACAGCAGTTGTCAAGAGAGTAGGACCCCAAACAAAGGGTGTACAGGTGCTCCAGAAGTCATACGGAACACATGAGCTGTAGCCAAGCTATGCAAAGGTGAATGCCAGCATGCGTCATCAGAAATGTTGTCCTTTATATTTATAGACATATGCCAAAAGATAGTACCACCTTTCTGTATTTAAATAAAGAACCAGTTCTCTGATGCAGCATGCTGGCGTTTACATTAGCGAAGCTTGGCCACAGCTCGTGTGCTCACTTTTAGTTTTAGAGCATCGGAACCATAGATTTACATCAAATTTTTATAAAAGCCAAGTCCACGCAATGTTTAGATCATGACGTTTAAGATCATCATATTTTGATAACTCTTATGCCACTGCAGACTTCATGCCCGCCCCAAATCCCATGTTGATGCTTCATCAGAGCTGTTTCATGACGTGAATGCAAGTCTTCTATACATATTATGGTGCTCTAAAAATTAACTGTCAATTACTGGAGCTGGCATTAGTTTCCAGTAGTGGCACTCATTCATCCGAGATGCAGACAGTACGGGATTTGGTTTGCAAGCAGCATCAAGTGGCCAAAGCTGATTAAAGACTTTCCCTAACGCCAAATCCATTGAAACGATAATGCAGACATCACAGCAACTTTTTTTTTTTTTAGAAGCAATACACAGTACGATGAACATTTAGATCAACATTTGCTGCGTGAGCTTTATCGATGGAGGTCACAAGGCTAAAGCTCGCACAACATGCCTAGAGCAAGTAGAGGTGAGAGTAGCAGTTTCGGTAAATACACAAATTGGTACAAGCAGAGCAACATTTTCACCCTAAGCATCATGACACAATTTGGGCCTATTCACTCGCCACCATAACGACTACTCATATGCTTAAATTCGAACTATACCAATGGTTGCACTACAACAAGAGTGTTTCACGTGAAATGCTGAACAAGCGCGGCAATTTAGTACTATATATATATACACACCAATGTTCAGTCTAAGCAACTTCTAGTGTTAGAGAGAGTTCTAGATCACAAGCATTATTTAAGTTTCTGAGGTTTTCGTGAGTCCGAATGTTTCAAGGATTACAATTGGGCCACTATCGACATACACAGCACACGTGTTTACCTTGAGCTCCTCAAGAGAAAAACCTTTGCCCAGGCGTTGCTTTGTGTTGTACTTGAAACCCGGGCACCTAATAACAGGTCGGAGAGCTCCCTTGACGGGTCTCGGCGCGATAGCTCGAGCCCGCTTCACACGGTGCGCATGACGGCGTTTCTTCCTCATCGGCTGATTGAACCATGTCTTCACATAGCGCTGCCAGTCCTTATGGAAATGGCCATTAGGGACCATATTGTTCCTTTTAGGAGCCATCTCGAATGAACCTGCACACGATTACAATGCACACCATCAAACTGCACCCGACGCGGCTTTCGCCACGTAATTTCTCATACTACTAAACACACTCTCGAAAATACTGCTTACAATACAACTCAACAGTCGCACGAACTAACGAGACAGGGCAATATTAATAGATCGGAATAATATTTTAGGATTGAACAAGATTGAAAGTTCAATACATAAGCTTACCGTGCGGCGGTGTCCACGGTCCAGTGCAAAAGGAAAGAAGAGCCGAACGGTATTGTGGGAATAACGTGGACAAATGATAATACCAAAACTTTGAAGCAAAATGTTACGCAGCACTACAGTGCATGTCGCTGCATTATTTGTCACAAAAACTACCGCTTTACTTTCCCATTTTTGTTTTTGTTATAAAAAATGACTTTATTTGACTAAATTTTCGCCACGCACGTTTTATAGGCGAGTTAACGAGTAAGTTTAAGAAAAAATTTTAGGTCAGCCAATGTACGTATTTGTGTTGTCTTCTAGTGCAAGCGAGTCAAGCCGAGTCAGTTTAGCGCGATGCGCATGTTTTTGCAGCGTGCTCTCTTGAGTTAAATGCTTCCTATTTTGATATTGAAGTATGCATAGAATTGTACGCGCCCTTGCAAAGAACCGAAGAAGGCGTAACATTAGAAGCATATTTAGCCTTACATCAGTGTGGGTAAGTGCGCCCTGCATTTATATAATGAGCATTACTCGCCGATGCTCTGCAGCCGGCGGAAGCAGCCGACGCGCAAGCTTCATACCGATACGGGGCAAAAAAGCAGACGACACCATTTTCTTGCCGTGTTTTTTTTTTTTTTTGACCTGCTATTTTATTTTTACGTACTGGTAAATGCTGATAAAGAAATTTGCATCCTGAACCTCAAAATTTAGTGTTAGGAGTGGTTCTCATTTTCATTTGGTTGAGAAGAAAGTGGGTTTACATTTCATTGCATTAATCCTATGGTTGCTTTTTCTCCTCTGAAATGATGAGGATAGATCTGGAGCAAAAATGATGTCCTTAAAAAAGTGTTTCGCGGCCACGTTCGGCTCAGCAGTGTGTAAATAGCAAACATGCTTAAGAATGGCAGAGTCCTCGACAGCTGCTACCCATCTCTCTCTCACTCGTCCGTTGCCTTCTTTTTTTTTTTTTTGGGCAAATAAGAAAATGTTATACAGACAGCAAGATCAACTTGAAATAGACGCACACGCACATTCTGACTTAATGTTACTACGTTGCTCTCTTTGTGCGCACAAGATACAAGCTGCTCCCAGGCTGTCAAAATCAGTATGAGTTCAGTCGGCTCATAATGCTTGCATTTATTTTGCATGCAACTTTCAGCCAATATCAGTGTATGTGCTTGATGAATATCAGATGTCATGAAGATACTTTTGCTGGATTCAAGTTTGATATAACAAAAGTTTGACTGTGCAAGTTTAACTGCAGACTAAAACAAGGTTTGCTTTAAAATTAATATCAAAATATTGTTTAAAAATTCCACCAAAATTAGTACATTTGTTTATGGTTTTCATCGATCATTTTTCTTCACCAGAATCCAAAGATAAATGCCGATACAAGGCTCAAAGTTGAAGAGTTTTGGAAGGACAAGGTTAACCAAGTGCCCCCTCAACATGTGGTAAGCATGCTGTTATGTCTAGAAGCTCACTTCTTTAACAAAGCTTGATCAAAGCTTGTGATGCAATTGTTTTGCTAAAAACTAGGCTGGTTATGTTCAAGCTGTTAAAAACAGCTATGACACTTACACAAAAGAAAAAAAAAACACCAGAATTATCGTGTGGCAACATATCAAACATTAATTAAATTGTCTATGGTTGGTCATATAATTAAGCAAAGTGTACATAGCTGTGCGACAAACTGCATATCTTCACTCTATCAGGTTTAATTTCATTTTAGACTTCAGTTTACACTCCACTTCTTGACAATTCATAGTGTTATGACGGAGAAGGAATAAGCACCTGATAGTTTTCCTTTTTTGCGTGCATTTGCCACATCTTCTTTTAGAATTTCTGTAAATGCATGAGCAAAATAAAGCATTGAGTGAGTTATTGCATGTGTAAGTTAACGATCATAGACTGTTGTACAGCAAGATGGAGAACAAAAGCATGTAAAAGTGCAAGATGCACAATGCAATTTGACTGAAGCTGATAGTGGATCATATGTACAGTGGCGGGCAAAATTTTGCGGACCACGAGAGCACGTGTCAAACAGCACCACTGCGCCTTCTGACGGCTGCCTGTGAAGCTCAAAGTGCGCACCATTTTTCCCTACCAGCCTGCTCGTTCGCTCCCATCAACAGCGTGTGCACCGGAACTCTAGAAGCATAGCAAGGTGCCGCTCTGGCTGTCACTACGCGAACATTATCACAAAGGTCGATTTTCAAAACACTTACACCGTACGCACATTTTCGACAGAGCAGAGCGTCTGGGACTAAGGTGCAGAATGGGGCACACATAGAGAACTGCCTGTACAAATTATGTGTTTTTTGATCGTCACGATATCATAGCTCGGTGTTTCCGCTGCAACAACAGGAGTGACAACTTATGCTTCTTCTGGTGCTCCAATGCACGCGTAAAAAAGTGCGTGCGTACACTGTGCGCGCGTGCGCGGAAAGGGCGGAGGAGTGGTCGGCCGGCTGTGTGGCTGCAGCAGGAACCCTGAACATTGCTTGGCCTGGTGCAGTCGTGGACACTTTTATTTGACAGGGATCAGCAGTGCTGCTCTCACCACTCAGATTGCAGTAAAGCAAAAACCAGCACAAAAGTCGCTTGCTCACTGTAGTGGCTGTGTGCCCCTCTGCTGGCATTTCATTGAGTTACACAAAATTGGATGCTAAAGGAGTTAGTTGCGAGTCTTAATGTAGCATTCCAATTTGTTGCCTTCTCACTCATTGCTTTGCCATGGCAGCGAAACTCCTTAGGAATTGAGTCGCAGTTAGCAATGTACAGGTTGCTTATATGTAGGAAGCGATACAGGACTCAGTACACTGACAGTGTTTCAATACCCTGTTTGAATGTTGATTTATGTTAAAATAAAATACTTCCTAAAAAATTTGCTTCCATGAAGTCCAAAAACATTTTAAATTAATTGGCCTCGAGTATGCAGGGGCTCCCAGCCTCACATTTATTCAAATTATATTGTGGAAGAGAATGAAAGAAACGGTAGTATATATCCATGAAATTTCTAGAAGACAGCAGAATTGCCCATTATTTAAAAAATTTTGCCACTTAGGCATGCATTTCTGAGAACACAGCTACATCCTGCTGTGTGAAAAATTTTTCAGCTTTGAATTGGTTCTAATGCAGCTATACTAAAGGAATTTCGGATGTGTATGAAATCACGGAAAGGGGGCTAGCTAGGGATGTGGTAATATTTCAAAATGTTGAATAATGCATCAACTAGTGCATCATTTTGAATCGCACGGTGGATATTCGAAATACCAAGTAATTTTCAAATAATCGGCATAAACAGAAAACGCTCAAAGGAACGAGTCACATGTTTTCATCATTGAATTACCCAGATGTATACAGCCCATGCATTTGTGTAACTATTGCTGCTATATTGATCACAGGATGAAGGCATTTTTGCTTAAACCTCTAGTGTTGCTGAAGCAATAACGTAATCAATCCGCTACTTTTGCCATGAAAATCAAGGTGATATCAAGTCATGAAAATTGGTTAATGTTTAAATATCAGTTTTAATACAGCAGTATTGTTAAGCTTTTCTTTATGCCGTGTGGTGACACTAAAAAACTATCATCATGATGAACCGGTGCACACTGTCTTTGTCCTTGTCTTCATCTGATGCTTTGCTCCCAGAACACATGCCCCGATTTGTCCAGTTCAGGATGCTTTCTCTGTACTTGTTCTTTTGCTCTGATGAGCAAAAGAACAAGTACAGAGAAAGAGGAAGAAAGAGAACAACTAAGGAGAGGAATAGAGAGAGCAAAAGGGGAAGAAGAGGGCAAAAGATGGAAAGATAGAGAAATAATTAGACAGATAGAAAAAAAACACACATAAGAGACATTGAAAAAACAGCGTAGGACATTTTGTTTGTTGTGTTGTTACAAGCAATCGTTTTGTTCTTTTGCTGAAGTGTTTATTTCTTTCATTTATTTTATTCATTTGTTTGTTTAAGGTGAATGTTGTTGAATTCTTGGGCTGTTTTTAAAATTGTACACTTATCAGTCTTTGGCTGTTTTAAATGGTCACCTTATTATTTAAACAGTTTTCAATTTGTATTCGTATTTGGTTAAGTGTCATCACTATTCAATTTGTATTCAATTTGATTCTAAGATTCCCTATTCACACATCCCTAGTGCTAGGTAATGGCATGAACATGCTTCCTGTGGTGGTTATCGTCAGAATAAATACTCTTCTTTGATTTATCCGAACAACTCTGCAGTGTGCATTATATGTTTTGGCTACACTGTGGAAATGTGCATGATTTCATATTTATACTTATGAATGTATGCTATTGTTTTTACTATTGCTAATTCAATATGTATATGACATTTTGTATCGGAGGAAATAATGATCAATAGTTGAAAGTGTTGTGTGTGGGGGATCATCTTATTTCTCATACAGTCGTACTGCACACTTTATTAATGAATCTCAACGAACTAGTCAATGAACATGCAGTAACTGTCTGTGTGTATGTGTTCCACTTGTTCTCTTTTTGTGTTAACTTGTTGTGGTCACTTAGTGGCTATGCCATTGTGCTGCTGTGCAAGGCCACAGTTTTTGTTGCTATCCAAATTAAGCAGCTACATATTGAGGAGAAAGAAACGTAAAACTACCTGTATGCTTATGTTTAAGTACACAATAAAGAAGATGTGGCAATCAACCTTAACTCTTTTGATGGCATGCCTCTTAGTGAGGATTATTTTAGCATATGAAGCACGAGATTTTACCTTTTTTGTAATGTATCTCTGCGATGGTATTTGTGTTCTTTAGTATGTTCACAAGAGAATGACTACAACAGATGTCAATATCAGCCTGTCATAAAGTAAAACAAAAGTTTTGTGGTATTTGGAAATGTCACCTTAGCAGCTGCCTTGTTTTTTTTGTTATAAATTTTTACTTGCATTGACAGTTTGTGCTGTTGGTTCTGGCATGCAGGATCCGGACAAAAAAATGTACGTTCTGTCCATGTTTCCATACCCATCTGGACAGCTGCACCTTGGACATGTTCGTGTATACACCATCAGCGACACATATGCCCGCTTCTATACCATGCATGGTAAACAGGTAGGAATGACGGTGGTTTGAATATTATTATTGAAATTGTAGGAACTGGTCAGATTTTTTTTTTGTTTTATAAGCGAGTGATTCGTATATGAAAGATGCTTTTCCGAAAAGTGTCTGCTCTGAATTGGGAAAGCTGGCAAAAGTACACAATATTTCATATTGTTTAGCTGCATGTCATGGATTTTATTGCGATAATAATCATAGGGGCTCTCCAATAAAGTTTTCACTACTGGCATTCTCTGAAATGTTCAAGTGCAACAGGCTTTGTACACCCTACTTTGTGTATGCGAAGGAAAGTGAAAGAGAGAGACCCTAAAAGGATGGTCACTTGATGCATGCTGTCTTTGTTTGTTCCATTGAAAAGTGGCGATAGGGGAATGGAGAAAGCAACTGATAAGTTTGCAGCTGGACATAAAAGGCAGTTCATGATGTTGACATGATGTTAAACTGTGCAAATGTCAAGGTACTATTTGAAAAGAAAACTGGACAGATGCTGACTTGCAACGAAGTTTAATTGCATATGATCAGAAAGCATATACAGTGACACACAAAGCACATAAAAAAAGAGGGAGAGGAGCATGCTGTATACACTATGCATGGTTACATTGCTCCGATCATCCCTATGTGCCTTCTAGGTACGCCAATTTTTTCTCGGATAGTGCAATTGAAGGTTGGTTGATATAGACTGCTTTTTTGTACAATCTGTGCTGCCTCAGCGGCTAACCTCATGTTCACACCTCTGTTTTTGTGCTTGTACAAAAGTTCTGGGACAAAATTTCTGTGAATTCTTGCACTGATGGCAACGCACAGACATATACACAGCATCATTGATGTTTAAATTGAAGGCATAGTTAATAAACCTGTAGTGAATAAGATAGACGTTGATACCATCAGGTCAGCTATCATCAACACAAGAAAAACGCACGAGATCGGCGATCAAGCACCGTCATCTGGGTCCGCCTGCGGTCCTTTAGAGCTACCACCCGCTTGCTCAGTCCTTCAATAAACCCCCTTTACATTTGGTAAATCGTGCTGGGTAACTTCATCACCTACACCCTGGAACTCCGATCCCGCACCCTGCCGTCGACCATGCAAGTTGACGCTGCCCAACAGACAGCACATCTCGCGGCCGCTACTTGCCCCGGCCCGGTTCACCAGCGAGACCCCCCGATCTTTTCGGGCTCCGAAGACCAGAACGTCGAGGACTAGCTGTCGTCCTACGAAAAAGTCAGTGGACCAAACAGGTGGGATGACGCTGCTAAGTTGAGCACCGTCAACGTTTACTTGGCTAATGTGGCGAAACTGTGGTACACAAACCACGAATCTGAGTTCGAAAACTGGGCCACTTTCAAGCAGGCAATATCCTCGGTTTTCGGTCGCCCTGCCGTGCGGAAGTTGCACGCCGAACAACGCCTGCGCTCACGGGCACAAGAACCTGGCGAAACGTTTACCGCCTATATCGAAGACATACTCGATCTCTGCAGGTGCGTCGATGCCGTAATGAGCGAAAGTGCCAAGATCCAGCACATTATGAAAGGTGTTGATGACGATGTATTTCAAATGCTCCTTGCAAAGTCTCCTGGTACGGTGTCTGAAGTGGTAACTCTGTGCAGGGTTATGACGAATTGCGACGGCAACGAGCTCTCACTCGTCGCCCATTTCAGCCTAACCAACCACTCGCTGCACTGGACGTCGTGCCTGACTACTTCCACCTTCTAGCACAAATGAAAGACTTTGTGCATGAGGAGGTCGCACGTCAGCTTTCTCTCCTGCCGTTTTGTCAGCGCCAAGAGCTCCCGCAGCAGCAGCAAGAGCAACCACCGACACCGTTAGCTCCCATGCTCCGACATGCACTTCAGGACCAGATTGCCGAGGCTATGCCAGTGCCCTTTCAGCAGCAAGTTGTCGCTGCGCCTCTTACTTATGCTGATACAGTAAAGAGGCAGCAGCCACACCAGCCCTCGCCGTTCTATGGACGGCCGCATGTCACCGCTCCTACTCAGTCTTCCGTCGCATGGGCTCCTCTCCTCGCTACCACAGCCTCAACTCAGCCGTATGCCGCGTGGGCGGCGCCCCTCGCTGCAAATGCCTGGCGAACGCGCGATAACCGGCTGATCTGTTTTGCGTGCGGCGGCCCTGGCCATATCTCCCGATACTGCCGTCGTCGCGGGCCCGCCTTCGTGCATCACACGAAGCAACTACATGCACCGACCCCCTTTTGGTTATGTAAGTCCGGATCGTCAGTCAAACACGTCTTCCCGTGACTATCCGGCAACTTCGTCTCGTCGCTCACCTTCACCCAATCGACGCTCCTTGTCACCCATACGTCCACGACCAGCCCCTCCAAATGAGGGAAACTAGCCGTCGCAGTTCAAGGGGCAAGAACTGCGCTATCGAAATGTTCAAGTCCTCGCAAGTCCTCGCACCTTGCCGTCAAATATCGTCGAAGTTTTTGTAGACGGCGCCCATGCATATGCTCTTGTGGATACCAGTGCCACTGTGTCTGTTATAGACGCCAAACTTTGCCGCAATCTCAGAAAGGTGACCACGCCGCTTGATATGATGTCCTTACGTGCAGCAAATGGAGAACCTGTTCGACCTATAGCCGCCTGCACTGCCCGACTCACAATTGCGGAGGACCACTACATTGTTGAGTTTATCGTCCTTTCCTCGTGCTCTCATGACATCATACTTGGCTGGGATTTCCTATCGCGTAATCATGCCGTTATAGATTGTGCCCGTTCCGAACTTGAACTGCTTCCGTTGTTCGACCAGCCCTACGGCCACACTAATCAAGTCGCGCACAAGCTAGTTGTCAAAGAGGACACTGACATTCCACCGACAACAGCTGTTTTGCTCCCTGTGGTCTCCGACGGCATGCGTGATGAAGTAGCATTTTTTGAGCCATCAAGCCTCTTTCTAAGTTAAAAACCACTTCTGCTTCCTTATTCAGCCCTTTCAATTTCTAATGGAGCCAGTGCTCTCTGCCTTACCAATCCCTTTCCGCATACCATCAAACTTTTTAAAGGCGAGTCTCTTGGATGCGTACAGCCCATCGATAATGGACAAATTTTTACCGTGCCGGAAGAATCATCCCAAAGTGACCTCGCCGCCGTCAGTGCTCTTAACCGCTCTGATCTACAGGCTTCGAAAGTGTTCGATTCGGCGATCGCAGATGGACTGTCACCATCTGAACAATCTGAACAATCTGAACTCCTCCAACTGCTGTACCAGTACCGCGAATCTTTCGATGTTGTTCAACCTTCACTTGGCCGCACTTCTACCACTCTACATTACATCGATACCGGCTCCCATGCGCCACTACGACAGCGACCATATCGTGTTTCTGCTGCGAAACGCCAAGTTATTACTGAACAGGTGAACGATGTGCTGCAACGCGGCGTCATTCAACCTTCACAAAGTCCATGGGGCTCACCTGTAGTGCTCGTTAAAAAAAAGGATGGTTCCGTTCGCTTCTGCGTGGATTACCGGCACCTAAATAAGATCACTCGAAAAGACGTGTATCCTTTACCCAAGATTGATGATGCCCTTGATACTTTACAAGGTGCCGAGTTTTTTTCATCATTAGATTTGCACTCAGGGTACTGGCAGGTCCCCCTTGCAGATGCCGATCGACCAAAAACAGCCTTCGTGACACCGGACGGTCTATATGAGTTGAATGTCATGCCCTTCGGGGTTTGAAATGGCAAATCTGTCTCTGCTATCTCGACAATATTGTCGTCTTTGTGCCAGACTTTGGAACACATCTCGAGCGCCTCAAACACGTCCTCACGTGCCTGAAGAATGCTCAGCTCCAACTCAACCTCAAGAAGTGTCACTTCACTGCTCGGCAACTTACGATTCTCGGGCACGTCGTATCAAAGGACGGTATACTTCCAGACCCGGCTAAGTTACGTGCTGTCGCCGACTTCCCCAAACCAACTACTATGAAGCAATTATGGAGCTTCGTGGGGTTATACTCCTACTTTCGACAATTCGTGCGCAACTTCGCCTCTATCATTGCGCCTTTGACCGAACTTATAGGCAGCACCACTGATATTTTGTCATGGTCTTCTGAGTGTGACCAAGCCTTCTGTACCCTTCGTCGTCTCCTCACTTCGCCACCAATACTGCGTCACTACGATCCTACGGCAGCAACTGAGGTCCACACCGACGCCAGTGGTGTCGGCCTCGGTGCGGTTCTCGCGCAACGCAAGCCTGGATTTGCCAAGTATGTCGTCGCCTACGCCAGCAGAACTCTCACCAAGGCTGAATCAAACTACAGAGTCACCGAGAAGGAATGCTTGGCGATCGTTCGGGCGCTTCTCAAGTACCGCCCATACCTTTATGGCCATGCTTTTGATGTAGTAATGGACCACCACGCATTATGCTGGTTATCTTCGCTTAAGGACCCATCGGGTCGTCTTGCCCGTTGGGCTCTTCGGCTTCAAAAATATGACATTCGCGTTGTATATCGTTCCGGCGACAAGCATACCGATGCTGATGCACTGTCACGATCTCCCCTATCCCCGGACATTGCATCTGTTTCCTCCCTCGGACAACACGTTGTCAGCTCTCGACGAGGACACCATCTCTTCTGCACAACGCAATGACCCATGAATCGCTTCGCTTCTTGACGCATTATCCGAGGCATCGACACTTCCAACCACTCGAACCCTGCGCCGCCAGGCTCCGCACTTCAGTATTCGGGATGGCCTTTTGTACCGGCGCAGCTATTCAGCAGATGGTAGGAAATGGCTTCTAGTCATTCCCCGAACGCTGCGCTCTACCATCTGCGCGTCGTTTCATTCCGACCCGCAATGTGCTGACGCCGGTGTTTTCAAGACCTACGAGCGCCTGCGAACACCGGCGTCAGCACATTGCACTGGTGCACTGGTGCGGAATGTTTACCTTCGTCCGCCAGTTCATTCGCGACTGCCACGAATGTCAGCGGCAGAAAAGCCCGCCACATCCTGCAACAGGTTCGTTGCAGCCACTTCCATGCCCAGACCGCCCATTCGACCGTGTAGGAATTGACCTCTACGGACCACTACCATTAACAACGGCAGGCAACCAATGGGCTACTGTGGCACTGGATCATCTAACACGGTACGCTGAAACTGCTGCTCTCCCCACAGCTGTAGCACAAGACGTCGCAACTTTCATACTCAATCGTTTTGTGCTTTGTCATGGTCTTCCTTGAGAACTCCTCAGTGACCGAGGGCGTGTTTTCCTCTTCGATGTAATCCAAGCACTTCTTCAACAGTGCCATATTGTACACCGGAAGAGTACAGCCTACCACCCACAGACGAACGGCTTGACTGAGCGGTTTAATCGTACTCTGGGGGACATGCTCGCTACGCATGCCGCTTCTGATCAAACAAACTGGGACCTCGTTCTCCCATTTGTGACATACGCGTATAACACCGCTACGCAAGTCACTACCGGGTTTTCCCCATTTTTTCTCCTGTACGGTCGCCAACCATCGCACACCCTCGACACTTTACTGCCATACTCGCCAGATCCCTCCGAATGCAAGCCTGTCTCGGAAGCTGCTCGTTACGCAGAAAAGTGCCGCAAGCTAGCCAAGCGGCTTACTACATCTGACCAACAGTGCCAGAAGGAGACCCGTGTGGACGACCATCGTTCTACACCAACGTTCGTTCCTGGAGCACTTGTATGGCTTCATGTTCCGCCCTGCGCCCCTGGTGTATCACCCAAGCTACTCTCTAATTATTATGGTCCCTACCGCATGGTCGAGCGTACTTCACCCGTGAACTACGCCATTGAACCCCTCACGCCACCGAGCGACCGTCGTCGGCGTGGACGTGATATCGTTCACGTAAACCGTCTGAAGCCCTACTTTTACCCGCCTGTCCCCACGTGTTAGATTGCCAGGATGGCTTCAACTTTTTCGCCGGGGGTAATTGTAGTGAGTAAGAAAGACGTTAATACCACCAGGTCAGCTATCATCAACACAAGAAAAAGGCACGAGATCGGCGATCAAGCACCGTCATCTGGGTCCGCCTGCGTTCCTTTAGAGCTACGACCCGCTTGCTCAGTCCTTCAATAAACCCCCTTTACAAACCTAACATTGGTTCACCACATCATTTTCTGTATGCGTACTCACTTGTAAGAAAGTAAAAAGGAGTATATGACATTTGTCTGGCAACTTAAACCTTTATTAATATGGTTTACGTTGCACTTTAACCTGTGGGAATTAAGCGCGCTCTTTCTTAAGGCACCTTGTTCCCCAGCCTGCGTGTGTGCCATCCCGCATGGCCTGGGGGCTGGAAACCACCTTAATCAGCAAGATGGCTTCGCCTCTAGGTCTGTCGGCTGGCGCACGTCAGGCGTCAGCGCCTTGCTGGCCGGCATGCCTGGACATGCTACGCCGACACATGCTATGGAAGCGCAGGACACCACACTTCGCCTGTCAATGGATGCCAGTGACAACCCCCTCTCCTATGGGCTTGCTTCTGCCCGGAGCTCGCATGCTTGGGAGATGCTCACATGCCTGCTGTGAAGGAAGTCATGCTCTGCCTTCGCGGGCGACTTCTCGTTTGCGCTTGGCAGTTCCCTTTTGTGTGGTTGCCATGGCACTGCAGGATAATGTACTCGACCGGTCTTGCGGAGTTTCTCTGCTGGCCCGCAAGCCTGTGATTGTCACACTGTGCTGTATCCTGGGTTAATAAACTCGTGTTTGTTGGTAGCCTGCCTTGAGTGCGATCTCTGCGCCGTGTCAAAGAGTCAACGAACTCAGCCGTAGTGTCTTTGTGGGTGACGGTAGGGGAGAACATTGTGTCTCTTCCCGGTTTCTCCATAGGGAAAGCCTTTTGCTAACGTATCTCCACAAGCTGAGTCATGATTAACTCTTTCACTCCCCTTTCACCGCCGGACGTAGCGTACAGAGTTTACCAGGAGCCAAAAAGAAAGTCGTACACCATATTGACCCGAAATATTCACTAGACCATGGGAAAATTTGTGCACATAAGACTTAACTACCTAATCTTTGCTCTTACATCTTTCTATTGGCTCATTATTTTGCGAGGCTTTTAATGATTTGATGAATTTCTTGAAACTGGCTGAAATAAAATACATAGTAGCTGGGTACCCAGCTTTCTCGTGCCTAGTCACTTGACCTGTGATTTACACACTCACTTTATGTACGAATGATTTAGCTAGTGCTGAATTTTTTTCAAGTGAAAGGCAGTGCGAAGCATTTGTTCACCTCTATTGGCACAATTGAGGGGGGGGGGGGATGGGGGAAGGGCTTCACACTTCCTTCGAAATGATTGAATTTAGCATGTCGTGAACATAAACGTTTCAACCCCAATGCCTCTAATCATTCCCTTTACCAGGTGTGACTGCTCTCCCATCCAGCGCCAACTATTCTGAGGGAAACTTTGGAGGGAACCAGCTACTAGATGGTTTGAAACACGAACACAGAGAAAGGGTGGTTGATCCCCCTTCTTTTTGAAAAAAAAAAAAAAAACATTTGGCTAAGCTTTGCTCTTGCTCATGTTACTCTTTCTGTGCTGTTCATCATGGCAGCATTGTGACACTGAATGTCCACTATCATAAGAGTCAATCTGTTTATGTTTACCTTTGCATACATGACACCATGCTTGTTGGTTGGGTTCGTGCAAAATAACCCTTTTTGCTCAGCACCATGACAACACAATACCGCTAGAAACTGATGATAAAGGCGCCCACATCACAGTCCTCAACACAGTCGGGGAGGAGTGTGAACTTAAGGCACTTCATGCAGCAGCCGAACAACAATGTCGAAACTCTGACCCCGAGCTCGAGAAGTGACGGCAGAACGACAAAGCCGCGAAGCTAACCCAGAGCTAAAAGTGCGAAAAGCTGTGGCTCGGCGCCAATGCCGACACGGCCCAGCTGCTAAAGCTGAAGCAGCCACAGCTGGACTAGAACATCAACAAGATTTTAATATAATCTTTCCAGATCCTAATGGGTCTTAATGGGACCCTTCCAGGTTGACCTACTCGACGACAACTGAATAGTGAAACACATGTTCAACACTTGCTCTCTACGCTCCATGTACAACAGCCAAACGACCACCTTCCAAAGCAAGTGCACTGACCTAGTGTTTGCGAACTTTCAAATGGACATGATCAAAGCACCACTGTTGTTTACATTCTCTGATTATAAAGCAGTGCCGTTCTAAGCAAAACGCGAACACTGACTTCATGCATATAAATAAACACTTATAAATATAATGAACAATATAAATAAACATTTTTATAGTCATTTGATAAACATTTCATAATTGTCCAAAAAGTTTCACTCCATTATCAGCATTCACTTCGTGGATCTGCCGTAATTTTTTTTTATGTATTATAGAAAAAACTTATCAAACTGCAGAACTGTTTTCCTTCATGCAGGTCATCCATCCTATGGGCTGGGACAGCTTTGGCTTGCCAGCAGAAAACGCGGCTGTGGAGAGAAATGAGAATCCCAGAGTATGGACAGAAAGGTGAGCACTTATGTGAAGTGCTCACCAGCCTAAACGTATTTTGTGAGAGAGTTTGCCGATGTACAGTAAATCTCTTTTCATAATTGTAAACCTAGCTTTCATGCGATGCAGTTAGCCCAACTAATGTCAGCTAATCACTTTTGCTCCAGCATGTGCGGCTAGGACCTTGTCTCCATTTGAAGTATTGCAGGTGCGGCGAATGTGCAGTGCAAGAAAGCACACTTCCAGGTTATTCTGGCTTCGGGTATTTATTGCTTAGTTATCAAGCACTCTTAGAGTGAGCAGTAGTTGCGAGACAACCGCTAGATTATTTATTTTTTTAGCATGTCTTAGATCTCGCAAGCTACACTGTCAACAGTTCTACAAGCCGCTAACATTGACTGGTACTTTGTTTATAAATCCTGAATATCGCTGAACAAGTTGCAATCATCTTACTGAAAAAATAAAAAAAAGACTTGTGACTCTACATTCACCTAAAGCTTGAATGTTTAATTGAATGGCTGTGTGCGAGTTGGATACAATTTTCTTTTATCAAAACATTTGGGCAAAGGGTTGTTCATTCTTTTCCCCATGTTTTATGTAAGAAGGTCGAGCTGCCTACACTGCACCTTATCGCCTCAGCTCAGTTATTGTAATGGCCATCTACTGTCAGAATGTTACTGCCAGCTTGTTTGCTGGGAATTGCTACTCCAGCGAAAGCATATTGTCAGTGGCTAGTGTGCCAAGCCGACGGCCCGCTCAAACGCAGTCTTTTTTAGAATGCGTTGCTGGGCGAGTTAGTGCATTGAAAAGGAGAGTGTAAAAAAAGACAAAACACAGGAGACAAGTACACAGGAATGAGCACTCGTTCCTGTTTACTTGTCTCCTTTGTCTAGTCTTGTTTTGTGCTCTACTTTTATTTTTAGGCTGCTGCTTTTCTTCGACATCAAGATGCCTTGCAAGCACACATCACTGAGACATTCCTTTGATTGGCCTCTTAGTAGGGGCCTCTGGGCACCCTCTTCATCCCAGGTTTCTTCTATCAAGTTCTCGGTCGCCATGACACATGGTCACAGGCCAGCAACAAGTTGGTTACATGGGATGTTTCCTGTTACTTCTGGTTGTCACACTTGATGCAGCTTTACTTGCCTGCAGTACAGCAGGCTCAAAAGCATGCTTAATAGGTCTTGCAGTAACCTATTGCCCACAAACTGTGACTCTGACTGTGTTGTGGCCCGAGTTCATAAACTTGTATTTGTTGACGATCTGTCTGTGATGTGTTTCCTGTGTCGTGTTCAAGGGGTGACAAAACCAACTATACTGCAGCTTGTGTAGGGAGCATTCCGGAATCTTTCATCCTTTAATTACCATGCTTGTAGAGTAAGCCTCATGCTAATCCTTCTTTATTGTTCCTCCTGTAATACCTAAACAGTCATAGAATGATCCCACTACTGGAGTTTATTACGCCACAAACGTTCTGCTGAGAACGAAGATTTGGTCATTGATTTGGTTGAGCATAAGTAAAGGTACAGGTAGTGACCACTCGTGGTGAGTGCTTTCTCTTTTCATTACCATGAGTGTGCCGCACAAAGGAATGACTTGGGGATGAAGCTTCATTCAAAAGTTACGTTGACATGTGTAATATTTTCTCCTATTTTTTTTTTCTATGCACGTGTTGGCTCAGGTGTGCATGACACTGGCATGTGGCATCATTCTATGGTGGCTGCTATATTTATGTGACAAAGCAGAAAAAGCAGAAATGCTAGAGCAAACTTGGTGCTTGTGTGTAATATCGTGCACTGTGGTTTGACCGAGCAGCATGAGTACCTGGCACAGGCTGGCTTTGTTCTGTGCCAGCTTGATCAACAGACAGTAGTGGAATCCAGATTGTGAATTAGGAAAGACCTTATGTTAGTTAATTAAGAAGTGATGTCTGCCAAGAAATGTTAGTCAGTAGGCACGTAGAAGAGATCTGGCATGTGCTGGCAAGTACTGGTGATTTTGTAGATGATGATATGCATCGCTAAGTACTGTTGTAGTGGGCTCATCACAAGACAAGTGACCAAATCAGGCTTGTAGTGTTTGAATGAACATGCATGTAGCGAACATGCATGTAGCACTCCAGATGCCACCTTTCATGACTGTGGTTAGTGAAAGCAAAACATATGCTGATGGCTGTAGATCAAGACAGGAAGATTAAACATGAAATAATTTCATTGCAGTTCTGTATACTTTAAATTTACTTGGCTACAAATAGCAATAATGCTGTTGATGATAAAGTGCTCATGCTCAAGAAACCAGCTGGTAACTCTCAAGCTCTCGTGGAATGTAGGAGTGAGCAAGTGATTTATGGGTGTTTTTAACATGAAATTATAGTTTCTCCGAGTGTTGGAAGCATCACCACCTAAATCTTAAACTGAAACTTCGGATTGTATGTATCATGCGACAAGCCCAGGAATATATCCAGACTCTCACGAGAAACAACTGGAGCGGGTTTTGTAATAGTTGCCCGCACTCTGAGTACTGCTAAGACATGGAACATTCTTCGAGCTCTTGTAGACCCATCGGCTTTAAATACGCAGACTCAAAACGGTTGCATGTCCTCACTCATTCGTTTAGAGACTCTCCTGACCGTCTCCTGCTGGAATTAAAAGCACGTCATATCTCTTCTGGAGCGAGTCCCCAGTATCACCCATACCCATACTACATTGATTCGCCCATTGCCTTAGATGCCGAAATCACATTCAAGAGGTCCGTTCTGTGCGAGAGGATATCCGCATGTATTCAGCGCCAGGTACTGACCACATCTGGTACATGACACTTCGAAATCTCAACGATGCAGATGTTAGGCACCTGGTGGACACGTTTAACGAGCATTGGCCATTTCCCAAGAGCCAGTCTTCCTTCCCGCATACGCAGTTCCGCTTTTTCTCGCACTCATCCACGCAAGATGTGCTGCTCTAGTTGAGAGAGCAGGTCTTTGGTTCATCGTGAGGTGTCCAAACCCACGCTTTGCTTGCACTTGACGTTAAGTCGACCTTTGACAATGTGGATCACGACCTCATTGTCGCCAACCTCGCCGAATCGTGCGGGGACGTTCGCGTATATAACTATGTCAGAGCCTTTTTTAGTGATCGTACCGCAACAATTGGTATAGGCCCGCATCGCTCAAGCATCATCCACCTATCAGGTAGAGGCAACCCCCAAGGAGCTGTAATTTCATCAGCATTATTTAATATCACTATGTCAAGTCTCCCTAAACAACTTGACCAAATTGAGGACTTGCATCATGCCATCTATGCCTACAATATCACGTTGTAGACGTTTCGGAGTTCCAACAGTGAAATTCAAGACCGGCTTCAACAAGCCATAGAGGTTGTCTCAGACTATGCTCAACGGGGTTGCCTCACTTGTGCTGCAAAGAAGTCTGAGGTCCTTGTCTTCCCCCACCCCACATCAATGTAATCGTTGAAGGAACACCTATCCCTCAGGTAGAGTGGGCACGCATCCTTCGACTTTACGTTGAAGCAGATGGCAGGGCACGACACACCATCTCCATACTCTCCCACCGGATGGAGCGGATCATCGCCATGTTCCAACGCGTAAGTAATAGACGCTCTGGACTCTAAGAGCGGGACATGCTTCGACTAGTGGATGCATGCATTATGAGGCACTTCAGTTATCACCTTCCATTTCCCAGGCTAACGCAAGGACAACATGAACTGGTGGACACGCTCATCCGCAAGGCCATCAAGGTCGCTCTGGGTGTTCCGCACTGTACTTATAAGCAGCGCCTTTTGTCCATAGGAGTGAACAATGCCCTCAATGAATTACTCGAGGCCCAGTGGATCAGTCAGCGTCAGCGCCTTCTCACACTAACGGTTAGACGTGTACTCCACCGCCTGGGTTACCCAGTGCCCCCTGAACCTTCGGAAATGCAGGGAACTTCCATTCCACTCAAAATAGCTCGAGTGCTCCGCGTACATCCCCTGACACGCAACATGCACCCTGAGCATAACATCGGTCGTTGGTGGGCACGGGGGAGATACCTGAATCGCACTCTCAGTGACGTTGAAGAGAATAGGGTCTACTACACGGATGCAGGGAACTTCCATTCCACTCAAAATAGCTCGAGTGCCCCGCGTACATCCCCTGACCCGCAACATGCACCCCGAGCATAACATCGGTTGTTGGTGGGCACGGGGGAGATACCTGAATCGCACTCTCAGTGACGTTGAAGAGAATAGGGTCTACTACACGGATGCAGCTCGCACGACGAACGATACACAGCGGTGGTGGTTAGCGGCACTCATGAGATCATAAGTGCTGCCTCGATCTCTTCCCCATCTTCTGCCACCAATTCGGGCGAGATCCTGGCAATTACCTGGGTGATCCAACACACCTTGTGCCTCCCCGTGTAAACATACTACATACTAACCGATTTGCAAACGACATGTCGGGCTTTGTTAACAGGCTGTGGCATTTCCAAAAGCTCCCATTCTATTCTCTTACGCACATCTAAAGTTGTTTTACACAACAGCCACATCATACACATGCTCTGGACTCCTGGTCATGCCTCACTGTCAGGTAATGAACGCACTCATGCGGCTGCTTGAGAACCCACCCTCCGTGCGGCTCTGCGCAGTGAGGCGGCCAACATAGAGCCACGTTCCCCACTTCTCACATGTCACGAAGTCACACAACATTACATACGTCAATGACAGCAATACCTACTCCCACCGGACTCCTTCACACGTGAGGAAGCTGTTGCACTTCGACAACTGGAGACCCGAACTTTCTTGAATCTCCACTTTATGCATAAAATATACCCGACTCGTTATACTGATACCTGGCCAGGCTGTGGCGCTATCCCCACAACTTTTCACGTTACTGTAGAGTGCTCCGCGGCTTACTTTCCTTCCCTCCCTCCTATCCTTCGGTCCACCTGTACCCCAGAGCAGTGGAAAGGCATCCTTCGCAACAGCGCCCCCGAGGTCTGTCGGGCTTTCATACTCGGGGCC